CCCTGCTGTCACTGCCAGGCTGTTCAGTTTAAACTCGGGGTAGAGTAGGAATCAAAGTGGGATTCAGCTGCAGCGCTGCATCCCCACCTTCCCACCCCACCCCTGGATTCACCCCTGTCCAGAGACACTAGGAAAACTTCGTATCAGCATGGTGTTCTGCACTATTGGATGGCAAGACAATGGCCTCACCAAAGCCCTTTCTTTCTGGGGGAGTGTGGCACTGCCACAGCACTAATTCCTTGTTGCCTGGAGCTGTTACCAGCACAAGGACACAAGAGAAGAGGAAAGTATGTTTCCCTTATCTTCTCCACCTTGCAAACCAGCACATTACTTAACAATACACAACTAAATTTTGGTCTCTCAGATCCTTCCCTTGTGCAAAGTTCTAACCCCAGTTATTTGCTATGACAGGTTTCCCCTGAGTTACACACCTGGGGATGAAGTGTGAGGGATCCTGACAGAGGCATAATGATACTGTGAGAGCTTTACCATGCAGTCATTCTTTCAAGCTATTTCACATTTATAACCTAATAAAAAGAGCTTGGCTCCAACCACGATTTGTTCAGTCAAACTTATTGCCTGACTTTTTCCTTTATTTTACCTGTAGCTCAGGTTTCCCCAGTTGTTACTAAGCAAGAGCCCTCATTCCTTTCCACCCTGAAACCAAAGTGAGCTTCCATGAAACCAACAAACACCTCACATCTTCCCAGCACTTTCAGAAAAAAAACTCAAAGACAATACATATCAGTCTATAAACAGGCAAATGAACACAGTGATGTCAGATATAATGAGGGGAGACACGCACAGTAATTACACCACACCAAAAATTGCAGCCATGCTGCATTCCTTTTCAGTGAAGGGCAGCTAAAAAATAGATACACCTATTTAAATCATCAAAGGGTGTGGCAGGAAGGAACAAGGCAAGCCAAGGAGGGTTAAGTTAAGGTGTTTGCAGAGCTGGAGGCCCAAAGTCTGGGCTGAAGGGATGCTAAACTGTCCTGAATGTCATTCATGCTGGGCCACTTCCTGCTTGTCTTTATTATAATTCATATAAAAAATTCTTGTATTTCTATGGTAGCACCTACAGGGCATGGACTGGGGCTTCCCATCCTGCTGAGAGCTGTATCAACATGGAATCAAAAGGCAGTACCCAAGGTCCTTTATGCCTCATAAGTTTCCATTCTCTCAGTAGAGATACTCTTTTTGGGCCAAAACCTACTCACTTTGGTACAGTTGCTGCAGTCAGGTCTCCAAGATCAGACCCTTGCATCTGCACAGAGCCCTGTTGATTTCAGCCAATGCCCTCTTCAACAGAGGAGTTATTAGGACTGTTCAGGTAAGGTGAGCATATTTAGCTCACAGTTGTGGTCTGTGGAAGACCCACTGTTGTGGACTGGATTGCAGCATTCCCTACATCCCTGCAGAGAGGGGGCATTGTGCTCTCTCCAGATTAGTTGTGATTCAAGAAAGCATGCCATCTCCTGGGCTTTGTTACATGCATAACCAGCAGGCTAACCTACAGCACATGACTCCCCAGGTTTCTGGTGCCACAGTGGTGCAAGAGGAGAAGGTTGGACTGCAAGTGAAAGGCATACCCTCACAGGTCCTTAAAAATGTAGGGAATTCATTCCTAATTACAACACCATAGTGCAGGCTGCTTCAACTAACCCTTCCAGGCCTTAGAGAACAAGGCTTCATTTATTTCATGTTCTGTAAACAAGCCAAAACAGATGTAGTGTAAAACAGTGGAAAGGGCCAAGTTTTGTTATTTAATTATTCAGTAATGAAATTACAAACACCAAAGTTGTCATAAGTATCTCACTCCCTCCTAGAACTAAAACCCTTCAAGTGTTGGCCTGAATGATTTCATTGCGTGATTTTAAATTGCTCTCCAGAATCTAATTTCAGAGGCTCTTTCTCTCTACAATGTGGGTAAGATAATGAGCAGTGAAGTACTTCACAGCATAGCAGTTCTTTGGGCACCATGTAATAATATGACTCTACTAAATGGAATAAAACCTTTAGTTTATCAAACCTCAGGGCAAAGTTCTGCTCTCTTAAACTGGTACATAATAGGAAACAGAGACTGGCACCAAATATGGTCTGAAAAAACCATAACATTAATTCTGATCAACACTTCAATGTAATTATCTTGTGACTATTTAAATGCATTAAACTTTCCACAAGTCAATAACATTCCCTGCGTGATGGTATCATGATAGTGCCTTATTTATGAGTTCAAGTTCCTAGCATGGTTTTTTTTAGTGTGTTTTTTCCAAGCTATAACTGGTGGCATGGACATGTATAATGGCCTAGACTTCACTCCTACACTAAGGGTGCGTCTACACATGATGCTACATCACCGTAGTGATGCACTAAGGCAATGTAGCATCCACGGGTGTCTACACATGACTAACAGCTACTTCACCATAGTGGCATGCTCCCCCTTTATAGTGGGCCACTACGGCAAAGTAGCTGCTAAAAATAATCTTGCACCATGTGTACAACGTAATACAGGCAGTTACTGCACTATGCTTTAGTACTTTTGAAAGTACTAAAGCACAGTAACAAGGTTGCCATAGGCAATGTGTAGACATGCCCTAAGAGTAGATTGACCCTGGAGGGGTCCTATCAGGGAGCCAGTAATGACTTTCTGATTCTTTGTGCCAATCTGTACTGGTTCAACTTGAGAAAACTTCAGAAGTACTGAGCTCTTGAATTTTAATCAAGGGAAGGAACGGGAGCCAAGCATCCCTGCCATTCTGGAGGGCTACTGACCTCTTGATTTCTAATGGAGCTGGAGGTATTAAGGACATCTGAAAATCCAACCCAAGATGTCTCGGGCTAGTCATTCAAAAAGGAAAGCATCCACTATCTGCATCCAATATTGACAAAAACATTGTTCTTGACAATGTTGGTCCAAGAATCTTAATATTTGCACAATATTTTCTGGTCCTCACCAGACTCCTAATATCTTGAGGTGAACGAAGATTTAGGCAGAGTGAATATCACTGTCATGCTGTCTTTGGCATTTTCCATGGGCCTATCACCTTGGTATCTAGAAACCAAAAAAATACGACTACTCAGTATTACAACAGCAATTCATACACTTTAACAAATTAATCTAACTACAGCAATCTCTCTGTCAAGGCAGGCAAAAGATATTTACCACCCCATCTTCGCATGCAGGAAAGCTGAAGCATAGAGAGGTGGAGTGATGTGTCCAAAATTCACAAAGCCAGGATCAGAAGTGAGGTCCCTTCAATCCAAGTCAAGCACCATGATGCTATAGTGATGGGCATGGTATAAGAACTTGAATAGATCGCAAAATATCCCACATTCAGTGAGCATATTACACGGCACATATTAGTCCTGACAAAAATTATGTTCATCTGTCCACCTTCCTGCTACCAAATCCTAGCTGGGGGAAAAGTCTGCCATAAATCCCAATAGAAGACTGAGCTCATGAATGATGCAGTTACCATACTGTCACAAAGACAAAGCATTCATTCTGTGTTAAACATAGTAGATTCTAACCATCACAAGACACTAACAATTCTGACTTCCTTAGAGGTAGCTTTGTAACTCCCTGTCTTTCATACTGGTGCCATTCCATCAGGCATCCTTTATTTCACTAGATTTGCACTAATGTAGCTGAGGCTCTTCCCATTGGGCACATCTACACATGCAATTAATGCACCTTAAGGTTACTGTGCATTAAGATAAGGCACGGCAAACTGCATCTAGAAATGCACCTACACTTGCACCCACATCAGAAGCAAAATTGCTTCCAACAGGATCACTTGAGTCAAGGGCTGCTCCTGCTCCCCTGCCCACCTACAGCAGTGAGGGGGAGCTCCAGGCTCCCCCAGTTTCAGCCCTGGGCTGGCAGAGGGCACAGGGGTCAGGTTTGGTTTCCAGGGAGTGTGGGACAGCTGTCCGGGAGTGAGGGACAGCTCCCAACTATATGGAGCTCAGAATTGCAGCCAGGCTCAGCAGCACTGGCTTGGGGTGATGCCCAGCAGCCAAGTGGCAGCAGCGCCCTGAACTCTCCCTTCACTTTGCTTGCTGAGGGGATGGGATGGGGGAGTTGCCTGTCCCTGCAGTACTGGGCCAGTGACAGAAAGCTTCCCTGTCCCCTCAGTCCTGTCGCTGCCCATGCAGCACATGCTCCAGTTGGCTCCCCCTCCCTGCCTGTGCTGGGGGGAGCCAAGAGCTGAGCAGCATCAGTACTGTCTCTCTGCACCCTGGTCCTGGCACTGCTTACCCCCCAGTTTCAGTGCTGCTTACCACTTACCGCCCACCCCGTGGCTCCCCCGAGTCCCAGCGCTGCTCAGCTCCCAGCTCCCCCCAGGCATGGACGGGGAGCAGGATCCGACTGGGGCATGCACTGTGTGGGCAGCGACAAGGCTGAGGGGAAAAGAAAGCTCTCTGTTCCTGGCTTGGCGCTGCAGGAACAGAGCGCTCCTCCATCCCCTCAACAAGCAAAGCAAGGGGATAGTTAAGGGTGCTGCTGCTACTCGGCCATGGCACATTGCCCCAAGCCAGCGCCACTGAGCTGGGCTGCCATCCCAAGCTCCACACCAAAGCCATGGACAGCTCTCACACCTCTAGCCCCTGTGCCACCCTGCTGGCTAAGCTGACCAGGAGCAAATTGTTCCTGGTCACCATCTACACATGTGCTTCTGCACAACAGCTAATGCACGGTTAATCTAGTACCTGTATTTCTTGGTACTAGCAAACAGCGCATTAGCCTAATTTACTGCACAGTAAGTCCCACACATGCATAGACAGTAATGCTTTACTGCACATCAGATTAGACTAATGCATGGTAAAGTGTCTTGTGCAGAAGAAAGTTGCCCTTATAGCATCATATTCCATACATAAGGTGACTATAGCTAACCAGGTGTGGTCTTTTTGTAATGAGCAATAATCAATTAGCCTAAGTCACTGTGATGTTTGTTGTAAGGAATTCAAAGGACTTGCTACATGGCAAGGGA